TGAATTTGAAAGCAAGCGAAGTAATAACTTCAAACTGATCAGTTTTAGATTTACAATGTTTTAAGTTGTCAATTAATTCAGAAGTTAGTACTTTCAGTTGTTCTACAGAGAACAAATCATTTGTATTATTAACATGAACATTTGAAGCTAACATATTAGCATAACTGAATCTATTGTGATTTGACTTTTGTACATGTGTGACGTTAAGCAAACCAATATTGCTTCTGTTGAATCCATTTCGGCCCCTTGAATTAATATAATTTTACTCCGACAAGATGAATCAGTCGATCTATGTACCTCACCGCAACTTGCACATTTAATTTTATTTACGGTGCACTCCCTTGTTTTGTGATGGCCGGTACAATTTAAGTATAATGGTTTAATATGACAATTATTAGAGCCATGGCCGTGCATTTGACAGTTATAACATTGAGTTTTTTTTTTTTTTGGCTTTAGCCTGGTAACTCCAAGTGGTGCGTAAGCGGTCTATAAATCCAAAATTTTCTTTCACTTCCATGAGGCTTAATGCATTTATAATAATGTCTATATACAGAATAATGTCGTTGTTTTGTTTATCTTTTCCGAAAACTGGTTTGACATTAAGACAATTTAACCCCAACTTAATTAATTAAAAAATTCTTCCTCTTTGTCCTTAAGATATTTTACGGCATTATTGTAATCATATTGAAGATTGTAGAAAATTTTATGAAATTTTTATTTAAATATTTTGATCTGCATAATCCGTAATATGCAATTCACTGCAAAACGATTTAGTTTTTTTTCAGTATCAGATTTCACAATTGTTATTATCATATTTTTAACTATCATGGTATCATATTTTCAACTAGTTTTGGCGTGGGAGCACCTATCTTAGTTTGTAGAAATTACGCCCTTCGCAGCTCTGGTCGGTGATGTGTCGCTCAGTTTTCTCTTATACGCACTCATAGTATGAGTGTGAAAGAAAACAGAACATACAAGAAGAGTAATAAAAACTATTATACACTCTCTGTCTCTCTCTCTGTCGGTAATTAAGGGCAAACACCGAATATGTTCTTTTAATTGATTGTTGTTGTTTTTACATATGAAATGAACTGTTAGAAACAATGACACGTGCACTTGCGTTTCATCCGTCACACGTCCGAAGTCAACAATGGCACAATGGGAACTGATTAATAGTAATAATAACTCTTATTATTTTATTTATAAGAAGAACAATTTATTTGTCACCTGGGGAAATGATCATGAGAATATGAACAGAATAGGCTGTTTAATAAAATTCTTTAATTGGTTTACGATAAATGTTTATGTTTTTCCATCCCGATGAAATATGCAAGGATTCTGCCACAGGAAGTAAAACCCGTTAGAAACTCTTAATATAAATATTAAACAATTAATGGTGGTACAGTACAGTTATGTGGGGACTATAAAAAAAGTGGAACTGTGGTTTAAATTGCTCAAGTAGCGAATGTCGGGAGTTCTGGTATTATCTGGGCCACAAGAAAACGTGAATCTACATAAACAATGTTTTGAAACAAGACAATTTAACAATTCCGTTTGAAAAAGTTACGTTAAAAGTTACTTTTACATGAGGGCTATAAGGATACGTGAACCTATATGAACAATGTTCTGCCACAGAAAGTGGAATCCATTACAAAATCTAAGTACAAAATTTTCACTAATTCCCTTTGAATATCGTGAGATACTGTTATTTGCGAGGTACAGAAAATGAGAACGTATTAAGGCATTGTCTGGCACAGGAGGTAGAACCCGTAAAATGGGGGGGGAGTGCTATACAAAAACGATTACCTTTATAGTCCATTTACGAACTTAACATGAAAAATCTTAGCCATCCATCTCAATTCGTTCCAAAGTTACGTGATTACAACAGACAGATGGAGAGTCAGACAGATAACAGACGGACATCGTTAAATCGATTTAGAATTGAATGTACACTTTGTTGAGTCTTTGAAGGAGTTAGAAGTAGAATGTTGGAAGGTATTTAAATTTATGTGAAATATATCACAGTACATGCACTTGGAAATATATTGGGAAAAGAAAGTAAGAGCGCGCATGAAAAGAGTCTATGTTATATACTAGGGCAGTTTGGAAAGTTCTTAGCCTAACAAAAAAAGCGCGGTAAGACAGACAAAAGTTAAGTAATTTAGAAACATCCGTCTCTGTTATGAATTTCGATTCGATCTGACAACTCCTTCATATAGAAATAGGTTTTCAAAACAGATGCATCGGCAATTTTTATACCCTACACCACAAGGGTAACAGGCAAAAGGAAACGAGATAGACCCATAGTTCCTTTTGATGATCTGCATAGAATCACATTCTGAGTCGATTTATGCATGTCCGTCCGTCCGTCCGTCTGGCCATGTATTTTTGTAAACAAAGTACATGTCGCATTTATTGCCCGATCCACATGAAATTTTGCACAGATCATTTGTTTGGCCAAAGGACGAACCCTATTGAAATTGGAAATAATCGGTCAAAATTTAGATATAGCTCCTATATATATCTTCGTCCGAATTGTATGGAATTTTGCATATACACCCAAATTAGGCCTGAAAATAAGTATGCCAAATTTGGTCGAAATCGGTTCAGATATAGCTATAGCTCCCACATATATTGTTCATCCGATTAGTTATTTTTGTCCTCCGCAGCCGTAATATGCACTCTGCAACAACAATATTTGGGGAAATATATCAAATGCAGCTCAGAAATACATTTGCCAAATTTTATCAAGATCGGTTCAGATTTGGATATAGCTCCCATATATAACTTCGTCCGATTTACCTTTTATTGTGCACCAAACGTCTAATATTTGTCTAAATGGGATGGAATTTGGTACTTACGACCGAATTGAGTCTAGAAGCTAGTATGTCAAATTTGGTGAAGATCGGTTCAGATATAGCTATAGCTTCCATATATATTGTTCATCCGATTTGTTATATTTGTTACCCACAACCGTAATATGCACTCCGTAACAACGATATTCAGGGAAATATATTAAATACAGCTCTGTAATATCTTTGCCAAGTTTTATCGAGATCGGTTCAGATTTGGATATAGCTCCTATATATATATTTAACCGATTTTAAATTATTTGTGCACCAAATGGGCAACATAAGTCCGAATTTAAAAGATACAAATACTTCAATATATTTAGTCTTTTGAACTTTAAATTATAATTATAATCACAGGGTGTATGATTGAATGCTCCCATAAAAACTTTTAATTATTATGCGGAGCTCTACTAAATTAGCAAAGTGGTGTAGGGTATCATAAAGTCGGCCCCGCCCGACTTTAAGACTTTCTTTATGCGTGCTGTCATTATTTACATAAAAAAGGAGTATCGGGACAAGAAATTCATAATGATATGGTGAATGTGTTAGGTGAAAGTGATGCAAGAGTACAAATTGACATTATTAATCGGAATTGTTTCAAATTTCGTAATTAATGCTACAGCCTAAGACAGAAAATAGTCTGTGCAGGTCAACATTTCCAAATGGTCCAAATTCGTTCCAAAAGGGAGGGTATTCAAATATCGGCACGTGCGAAATTACAGCTTTTGTATACCCTCCACCATAGTATGGAAGGTAAATTAAGTTTGTCATTCTGTTTGTAACATCTCGAAATATACATTTAAGACCCCACAAAGTATATATAAGGACAAGAAATTCATAATGATATGGTGAATGTGTTAGGTGAAAGTGATGCAAGAGTACAAATTGACATTATTAATCGGAATTGTTTCAAATTTCGTAATTAATGCTACAGCCTAAGACAGAAAATAGTCTGTGCAGGTCAACATTTCCAAATGGTCCAAATTCGTTCCAAAAGGGAGGGTATTCAAATATCGGCACGTGCGAAATTACAGCTTTTGTATACCCTCCACCATAGTATGGAAGGTAAATTAAGTTTGTCATTCTGTTTGTAACATCTCGAAATATACATTTAAGACCCCACAAAGTATATTCTTGATCAGCATAAAATTATATGTTGATTAAGCGATGTCCGTACGTCTGTCCGAACCAAATGAATTAGGTTGATATAATTTTTCACAAATGTATATTATGTCTGCAGGACTGTTGGTATTGAAAATGGGCAATGTAGATCAACGTTTTGGTATAGCCCCCATTTATTAGTACCTCCCCTTTTGCCGGTATTTTGTCGTTTTAAGCGACATTATTCACCGGAATTGTTTCAAATTTGGTATTTGAAGTTGGTAGTGGATATTACAGCCTATGACAGAAAATTGTATGTGCAGGTCCACGTCTGCGTATAGCCCCACATAACGGTACCTCCCAATATTGGGTATTTTGACGATTTTAGGGACATTATTCACCGGAATTGTTCCAAAATTAGTATTTGAAGCTCGTAATGGATACTACAGCCTATGACAGAAAAGCTCCTATATCCGTAAACCATATAATGGTTTCTCCCTATATTCTGTATGAGCTACATTATTCACAGATTTTTTTTCAAGTTTCGCATTTGAATATTGTAATGGCTTATGACAAAAGTTGCCTATGCATGCCCAAGTCATCGTATAGACCCTAAAATAATGGCTATATTTGGTATTTTTAAATTTTAACAAAATTTTTAACCAATTTTATTTTTTTGAAAATTGCCAAATTCGTTCCAAATGATGCAGGGTTTTCAAAGTTCGGCACGGCCGATCTTACAGTTTTTTTTACTTGTTTTTGTATTAATAGTAATTATAATATTAATTATTTTATTTATAAGAAGATCAATTATTTGCCTCCTGGGAAAATGCTCACAGTTATGATAACATCATAACAACGGGTGGGTAGACGTAGGCAATTGTATGCAGCATAGAAAGTTATACTGTATTGTTGCACGTTAGTCTTGCTGACTAATGAAACACTTGGAAAATTCCAGGAAACAGTACATATACAAACTTTAACAGATATATATAATATATCACTTGATTAATAAATCACGTTACATTTATATTATAAATTTCTTAGGTCACTTGCCTTAAGGAATGCCAGCAAGGAAAGGACTACTTGCACCGCAAAACACTTTTTTGGATACGATTGCCACTCGGTTTGATGGAACCCGTAAGTTTACTACATTCCATTTTTTTTATTATGCAATATATATATATTAATATATATTAATTTATTCATTTATTTCAGATTCAAACTTTGTTTTGGGCAATGCCCAGGCGAATGGAAATCCAATTGTATATTGTTCGGATGGCTTCGTGGATCTGACCGGATATTCACGTGCTCAAATTATGCAGAAAGGTATAAGCATTTATCTTATATAATCACTGGCACAGTTTATTGAAAAAGGAGTTGTAATTATCGTACAATGTAATCAATGTCTTGTACAAATGCCATTCAATCCTCATTTTTTATTTGTATGGCTTTGTGTGTCAAATTTAGCTTTGTTTTGTGTGTGTATTCTTTTCAATGCTATACAATAAATATGCAAAATTTCAGCAAATTTTTGACAAAATAAAAGTGGGAGTGGGTGGGTCCACCTTGAAAAGGAGGGTATATTAACTTTTGTCATTCCGTTTGTAACATACCTAAATATTCATCGTAGGCCCAATAAAGTATAAGTTAACACGTTACAGTTAACAACCTAAAAATATCCCCAATAACATTCCGCTGACGCAATGTATGTGGCCGTTCAAGCAACTTAACTCCACACACAGTGGTTCTCACTGCACACATGGTAGCAACGATTTGCAGCAAGTAATCCGATTCCACACATTTTTTGCCTGCGTTGCAATGTAGGAAATGGCGAACGGCAAGGCATAGAATAAGCTACTGAAATTAGGTTTAGTTTTCTTACGAAACTCAACTTAAATAAATAACTTATAAATCGTGGTAAAATAAAAGAAATAATAATAAAAAAAGTTTAAACTAATAATCTAAAAGAGATTCAGAAAACAAAATCTAAAAAATGTTATAACTAAAACAATTTAAAGGCATCAAGCAGTGATATTAAAAAAAAAAAAAAAAAAAAACAGAAAAAAGGAAAAACTTTAATATCCTACATGAATGTTGTGGAGAACAACTAGCAGACTTTCAAAAAACAAAGGAAAAAACTGAGTGGAACAAGCTTTGATAAAAACGAGAAACATTTTAAAGCATCCTATATGAAAATGGTAAAGGAAAACTAACAGACTCTCATAGAAATAAAGTCTAAACAAACAAAAGATTCGTAGCTAAACAAAATTTTAAATACCGTACGTGGTATATAAAAAAAATAATAAATAAACCTAAAGCTAATAAGCTTCGAAAGAACTTGGACAGCGAAGAGGATAATTTCATTTTGTCACCAGAGCTTCGGAACAGTCTGAGCAGCGCAGAAGTCAGAAAACGTCAAACAACAGGAAGCCAGACAGCAATTCAGTCAACAACATCGAAAACAATCAAAGAAGTCCATATTTAAGAAATTTTTTGTATGTTAAGAGAAATATTGTATTCTAAAAAAAAACTATATATATATATATATATATACATATATATATATATATATATATATATATATATATATATATATATATATATATATATATATATATATATATATATATATATATATATATATATATATATATATATATATATATATATATATATATATATATATATACATATATATATATATATAAGGATTAATAATAAAATCTCTGTGAAAAGAAGTCTTTCAAATAAAATAACTATAACCTAAGTAAATTATTGCAATGGTTGCGCCGCGTGAATAAGGAGGATAACCAATATGTGCTAGAAGAAGTAATGGAGGGACTTAGTAGGAAAACTGAAGAAAAGAAGGAAAATGTTTTAGAACAAGGCAACTGGTGGAACGACGGGGAAATGGCAATGACAGCAAAACATGTTAGAGGTTGCAGTAAGTATGGCTTTAACGATCCAGAAATAGGTATTTGAAAAACAGATAGAGGAAATTAACCAGCGGTTTAATCAAATTGTCTTCACGACTCCCCAAGTCGAACCATTTAGGTCCACTGCTGCATCCATAAATGAGATGTATAGAATGGATTCACTACGTGTATTCATATCTGTAACTAAAAAATGTTTGAGCGATCTCCTTTTTTCAGCTCGACCCTCCGATTTATCCTCAGTTCTATCATTAGCTCAGGAAGTCGATTCTAACCACGAGCGATAACTTTTTGCCACCAACTACGCAAGATACCTCGAGGATAAAGAAGAACAAAAAATAGATATAATTTTATAGGTAACCAAACATTAAAAAATCCTAATTTTTCAAAACTACAAAGCTTTGGCAACAAAACTCCTCAAAGAGAGGAGTCTGTCCAACCAATGGAAGTTGATGAGTATGCGATTTAGGCAACCAACTAGATTTCAGGCAGGCCCGTTCAAGCACAGTACCAATACACTCAAATGCAAAAGCAATATCGATTTCACCATTGCAGGCACGATACTACAATAATCAGGCCTCCGGACAAGCTGTGAAAAGACATAATAGTGGTTCTGCTAGATTTACAGGACCTAAGCAAAAAAGGATCGATTTCATCTCACAAGAAACACGTGAACAGAATCTGGACGAATACCACAATTTAGCCGAAACAGTGGTGTCGGAAATCGACGATGAGGAAGAATTTGAACAGATGAACAGCAGGAAAGGACAATTGCAGGGAAAACTATAAGATTGTGATAGACACAGGCGCATCAAAAAATTACATAAAGACTCTAAAAGAACTCAGTAACATAGTATTAACGAAAAATATTGTATCAATCTTTTTAATACAAATACCTCATTTTTTATTTTACAATCGCTGTCGACCTTCGGTGGTGTAAATCGGGATCAGTAATTTTAGACACAACATAACCTAACATAGCATTAAATTTAAAAGAGAGAGATACCAAATGTACACCCGCCTATACACCATGCCCCATATATATTAAGGGGAGGTCATAAACACGCATAGCTATCTCACATGTGGCAAGCAAACATGCTGCACTTGCTTATCAGTCGATTAAAGATTACATCCCGTAATCTAACTCCAGAATAACACATGTAGCGATTGAAAATTCTATATTATTTATCCCTAATTCGAAGGTCTGCTCACCACATTTTCTTATCTTATTTAATGTGGACTATATTAAGAAGATCCCTGTTTAACAAATTCTCCCATCTACACTAGGTATAAAATATACAAATTACAAAACTAAAGAATCAGAAAATATTGGTATTAAAAAATATAACAGAAGTTGGGTAAGTGATAGTACTCAGAAAACTCCTACATCTTTCCAGCCGGTCTCCCTTGAACATCCAACCTCCTCTATCTGCCGGCCGCAATTTCCATGCTTGTCACTCCATCTGCCTTTTTCTAGCTGCATCATTTCCACCAGGCATCTTTATGGCAACTTGGGCTTCCTTAAGCACCTTATTGCCCAGCGACACATATGGATATTCTTCTTCATCTCGATGGCAAACAGCTTATCTTTGACCTCTTCCCGTTTCGACATAACATTTTGCTTCTTTTGACATTTGGAAACTTCTATATGAGCCTCTTCAACCATCATATCTTTGCTGATATTGACCGTTCCATGTTATGTAGGCCACTTGTTTTTTCAAGCCAAGGACTTTCTATTCGGTCTCCACCTTAAGAGTCTGCGTGGCTTCAAGGATGGCCCAAACATCTTCCGAGTACAGCCTCGCTGTTGCATTCGGCTGACTTGGTCTGATAGCAGCGACTAGATTGGACTTCTTTAGAAGCATCTCTTAAAACCGCTTATGAACGTCTGGATAGCATTTTACGCGACAGAGGGCGTCCATAAGTTTTTCTGTGACAAACTCATATACGCTTTCTATGGCTTCTTCCGTCTTTAATGTACTCATAATTTCCGTAATAGTACCCATCATTTCGGGAAGTGTCGAAACCTCTTCCTTCATTTTCATCATTGGCGGCCTTTTCACCGATTCGTCCTCCTGGGGAAATGCCTCATCCCTTGTGTTTGAAGATCTCAGGCATGAAGCCCTTTTGGTGTGCACCACCAACGCAGTCTTCTGTGCTGAAGTCTCTTTCTTACTTAGAATCTTTTTATTTGGCTTATAAGTTTCCTCTGTATGGGAACAATTCCAGCTATAGTGTAATGTTACGATAAATTAATGCATGCGAACTACCCTTGTATTGATCACCTGTAACTAGGCTAAGTAGATCAGCTGATTAACAGCTGTAGTTTTAAGGATTGCAAATTCTGTCATGACGCATTAACCCAAGGTCTGAAGAGGTTGACACTGGAGGAATATTTCAAGGCCAACAGCAGATTAAGGAAGAAAAGCTGACGCGGATTCCCCCACTGAAAAACCTAAACACCGCCTGCGTCGACAACTGGCAGCTGTGAAAGAGGCTGTGAATGCGGATCCTCCACCATCTTGGCAAAAAGCCACACAAATATGGCTACAAATAGATGCTCTGGGAGCTCAGATGAGATGTAAAATTTCACAAGCTATTCAATGTATTGGGACTTCAGAACTCATGTTAGAAATTGATGGAGAGACATTGTGTCATGATTTTCACGTAGTCGCAGATGATTTACCAATACATACAGATGGAATTATTGGTCGAGATATTTTAGCAAAATATTATACCATAGCATTTAATACTGATAATAGAGAGATTGTAGTGCCAATGAATGCAAGGCCGGTTCAGAATGAGCAGTTGTTAATACCTGCAAGATCAGAAACGATATTACCGCTTGATATTAAAGTAGATGAGGATAGCATAATACTCAATGAAAATATCTGAAGCAGTCTTTCTAGCGAATTCTTTAGTTCCTGTTAATAGTAAAGTGCATGCTAAGGTGTAAAATACTACTGATGAAGACGTAAAGTTAAACGAATTGAATTGCCAATTCAATTCATTAGAAAATTACCATACATAATACTCTAAAGCTACAAAAGGAAAAAATGATAAAAGGCTTTCGACCTTACTTGATGGGTTAGACATCGGCACAAATGATCCATACGCTATACAATCAAATCGTACAATTCTTGAAGAATTTAAAGGTATTTTTCATTTGCCTGGGGAGCGGTTAAGTGTAAACAATTTTCACACTCTCAAAATACAAATAACAGATTCCTTACCAGTATACATAAAAAATTATAGACTTCTGCAGACGCAGTTGGGAGAAATAAATAAACAAGTCGATCATTTACTACGAGAGGATGTAATCAAATCATCTGTTAGACCATATAATTCACCACTTTTAGTAGTACCAAAAAAGTCAATGGATGCTAAGAAACA